AAAAGGAGTCTCTTTGATCAGTACTTTTTTCTTCCTCTCAGTCATACGGAAGGTTCGTTTTACATCTGACTTTTCCTTTTGGAGATTGGACACATTGACAATTCTCGGTGTGGCTCAGAGTAATGAATTTTAAAGGCAAGGAAGCGTGATCCAGGGCGAAAGGATGAATTTGAAATCCTGTTAACTCGGATCCTATGTAGACAGTCTCCCCTAAGTCAATATTTAAAGAAGATGGGAGACTGGATGGTTAGGAGACCACTGTTGTGGGATTTAAATGCAGTTTTACTCCAGAGTAAAAAATAAAACCACTGGAATGTGGTTCAGGTTCTTGTTTCATATGCTACAACTGTGAGTCAAGGAAATGTACCATTTTTCCTCAGCTGACTCAAGCTTGGAGGCCTTTCCACTTTCTGTACAGGTTGATTCATTGAAAGTACAAAAGTAATGACAATAATGGCATCCATTTAAGGAGCATTTACCATGTGCCAGACCCTGTACTCGGAGCTTTATGTGCATCGTCTTGGGGACCAGTTGGTTTATGGAAGTGTGTGCCAGTACTGCTTCCCGGGGATTTTGTGTGTTCCTCATTCTTTTCTCCTAGTGTGTGACAAAGCCTTGGAGCATGAATCCGTTTGTTTTCCTCTGGCCCCTGTCCTCGTGGATTGGGACCCCTGTGCATCCTTTCTTCCTCCTCTCTCTTGGTAGAGCGATGCTCCCATTCCATCCCGTCTGCTCCTTTTCTTCCTCTGGGTTGTGACATCTCTCATATCTTTTATTTCTCCACCCTGTGGCTGCTGCCTAGTGATGGAGTTCTACTCTTTGTTTTTTTTTTTTTTTTTAAAGCTTTGGAGGATTTCCATTTCTTTCTTATGAGCTTAGCCAATTTATTTAAAAGTTGATTTTGCTGGTTTTATTCATCATTGGAAGGCTTTTTTTTTTTTTTTTTGATGGAGAAAGGGGCACCATGGTGGACAGTTGCCATATTATGAGACATCCTATTCCTTAATTAATGAACGAAGTTGGTGGATAGTCTGTTGTTTTCTCCTGTCACATGTCAGAACCATGCAAGACATTGCTGCTTAGTTTGTTGGGCGTTTGGGGGCAATCTTGAAAACAGATTCCACTGTAGAATTCTGGGAGGCTTTGTAGCTTGGATCCATTGAAGAGCCAGGGTTATAATTTCACAGGAAATTGTTCTGCTAGGTGTGCACACGATGGCATTGAGGCTTAGATATTGCCCTGAGCCCCCTTCCCCTGTACACACACACTCACACCCCCCAGACCAGACTGGAGTTCCTAGACAGCATTGCCCGTGACAGTCCCCCATCACGTCAGGGAATCTGCAGAGCTGGTATCAACCACAGGTGTTCTCTCTCCTGTTGTCTGAAACATGCTAAACTTGCTTATTTTACTGCCATTTGAGAACAGATTTATTTTTCTTTTAAAAAACTCTCCTGTCCACAGCCTATTTTAGTCCCCTCGTTGTACTGGGCTTTTACCCTGATAGAATCAGTGTTGGACCTGTGTTGCCTGCAAACCTGATTGCTGTCAAATTAAATTCCGTGTCTCCCTTGGCCTGCCATTGATGTTCTTTTTCTTAATTTCCCACTTATCCCCTCCCCTCCCCACTTTCAGTTGTTGTAGACGAAGCTGATAAGCGGTGTTGTGTCATCCAAGTGCCCTTGTGTTTTTCCCGGGTGTGGAGCTTGTGAGTGTAGAGGTGGATGGAAACAAGTAGGTGCCCAACTGGTTTCTGAAAATGGAGAGGGAGCTTAGGTGACACCTCCTCCCGGGGGAGTGGCTGCCAGTTCAGGGTTTTCCCTGGGGGCCACTCAACCAGTAGAACTTGGGACCTGGATATCAAATGATGGTGGGGCGCAGGCCTGGTATGTTGGTTTCCTGGGACAGCTGTGGCATATTACCATCAACTTGGTGGCATAATTACTCTCTCAGGGTCTGGAGTCAGGAAGTCCAAAATCACCACATTGGGCCAAAACCAAGATGTGCACAGGACCACGCTCCCTGCGGAGACTTCAGGGCGATGTAGACTTTGCCCTCTCAGCTTCCGGCGGCAACTGGCATTTCTGGGCTTGTGGCCACACCAGTCTTTGTCTTCAAATGGCCTTCTCCTCTATTTGTACAAGATCTCCCTCTGCCTCTATTTTGTAAGGACACTTGTGAGGACATGTAGAACCCACCAGGGAATCCAATTTAATCTTACCTGGAAGTCCTTCACTGAAACCCGCATCTGCAAGACCTCTTTTCCCAAATAAAGTCCCACTGATAGGTTCCAGGGATTAGCACTTCCTATCTTTGGATGGCCATTATTCAACCTAGTACAGGCAATTAACGAGCTAAATAAATTATCCTGACAATAATCGTGTGCTCTGTTAAAAAAGGTGGATCGTATTCCCGCCTGGTGTAGTACTTTGTAAGATTTCATTGCCAAGGGGTGTAATTTTTAAAACATTGCAACACAGAGTCAAGCAGAGACAGAACTTAATTGTACTCTTCAGCATCTTTCTCTCCACCCCCCCTAAGATGATGGCAAAATATACTCGTGTGTGTGTATGGGGTGGGGGCTACAGGAAGAAGTGAAGTTTATAAGGCTTCTTTTATCTAGCATTCATGCAGCGAGTTGGGGCCCATCTGCGGCTGGAGTGTAACTTTAACTTCTGTGGGCTGGAAGTGTTGGCCTCTGGGACTTGGGGTGTTGCAGGTGCCCCTCTGTGTGGTGCATGCAGAGGGGGGCTCCCTAGCTAATTTGTTTCCCTCTGCTGATTGTCCTTGGCCTTGGCTGTTTTTAGGTCTTTGGATTAAGGGCCTGAGGTTCCCTAGTAAGATGAAACTTTGTTCTCTGGATGAGATAACAGGCGAAGCTGTTTATAGCTGTTTTTGCTCTGCTGGATCCAACCGTTAGTAAGCTGTTGGTCACCTATTGTGTACTCTGGTGAAAGGGGAGTGGGCCCCTGGGCCCTGTGTTAAAGTGGCTAGTGCTGTGCATCTTGAAATGCCTGTGTGCAGGGCAGTGGGCAAACAGGTGGCAAGGGGACCTGGAGAATGACAGACGTGTCCCGGGGGAGCACGAGACCCTCCCCTGCAGACAACCTGGAGACTCAGTGAGTCCATGGTGGTGCTGACTGTGGAGAGGTGGGGTGCTCCTGGGGCCGCAGAGAGCCCCGAAGTGTTTCAGCCTGAAATCAGGTTCCAGGCCCACGGATTTCGAGGCAGAGGGCAGGGTGAGTTCAGGAGGCCAGGATGGATCACCGAAAAGAGGAAGGACATCGATGTGCTAGTCCAGGCTGACGGGTGGTGGCTTTATTAACTTATTTGACTTAAAGTTTGCCTCTGATTTGCACTTTTTTTTCCATTTTCTTTTTAAAAAGTCTATTTGACAGCTTTATCAAGATTTAATTAACAGGTAAAAGTGCATATATTTCCTGCGAGTCGTGTGATGCTTTGATATGTGTAGACATTGTGAACTGGTTACCAAAATCAAACTCATTAACATGACCTTCACCTCATTTATCATCATCCTCCTCCTCCTCCTCATCATCATTATTATTTTTTTTGTGTGTGTTTAGAACATTTGAAACCTACTCTTTTAGCAGTATGAAGTATGCAACAGACACTGGGTATCCCTGGATACAATGGCCCCGGAGTTCTCTTAGACATAGTAGCCCTGGGTGTCCCTTGAACAGAGACCATGGGCATCCCTTAGACACAAGGGCCCTGGGCATTCCTTAGACACAGTGGCCCTGGGGTCCTTTGGACATAAGGGCCCTGGGCATCCATTAGACACAGTGGCCCTGGGGTTCCCTTGGACACAGGGACCCTGGGCGTCCTTTGGACACAAGGGCCCTGGGTGTCCCTTGGATACAGTGGCCCTAGGATTCCCTTAGACACAGTGGCCTTGGGCGTCCCTTGGATGCAGTGGCCCTGGGAGTCTCTTGGATGCAGGGGCCCTGAGGGTTCCTTGGACGCAGTGGCCCTGGGGGTCCCTTGGATGCAGTAGCCCTGGGCGTCCTTTGGATGCAGTGACCCCAGCCTGGGAGGCAAGGTGCCTAATCGACAGAAAGGAAGTGGGTATGGAGGAATTGACATTATGTCAGTGGCTGGTCACATGAGAGAGGAACAGCAGGATGTCTTGGGCCTGGAGGGTGAAGAGATGATACCCCAAAAGGAACAAGGAGAGTTGGGGTAGAAAAGACGTCTTCCCTCCCTGTCCTTCTCCTTCCCTGTGTCCCTGCCTCCCACTGTTTAGGACGACTTGCTGGTGGGGAAACCGCGCCAGAGCAGCTTCCTACGGGAGGCTGAGCTGTGGGGCTGGTCCTGACTGGGCGTGGGTTCACCTTAGTGACTCACTAAGGGAGAGAGGTCAGTGTGGGAGGCCAGGGACAGCCTGGGGGTGCAGGGCTCAGAGAGGGCCAGGAGGCCAAAGCTGCATCCTTGGACAGCACCTCCTGCTGCTGCCTAACTGCACCTAGAACTGGAAACTGGGGGCAGAGTTAGGCGTTTCTGAAGTGGGCTGGAGTGGGGGGAACCAGACCCAGGGGGATGATGGAGAGTCCTGAGAAGTAGTGGGGACCTTTGCTCCAGAAGTTGGTATTCAGCTCCTGATACCCTCCCTGCAGACAGCGAAATTTGACATCAACCCTTTCCTGATCCTTCCAGGCTACCGTTCAAGTTTGCTTAAGTAAATTCCCTTCTCTCCTTTAATAAATGGATCTTTTTTTTCCCCCGATGATCTCCTTTTTTTCCCTTTGATGGCATTTAATTGATTAAATTAAATTTAATCAATTAAATTGATTGATCACAGGGCTGCGCTTGCTAGGCAGGTGTTCCCCAATGAGCGGGACCCCAGTCCTGATGGTTTGGGATCCAGTGTTTCTCCTGGTGCAGAGAAGTAGCTTGGGTTTCCCTAGAGATCCCGAGAGTAGTCGAGGAGTCTCCTTTGCCCGCAGCGTCTCTTAACACCCAAGCTCTTGGTTTGTCCTCAGGTGGCCATAAAAGTCATCGATAAGAAGAGAGCTAAAAAGGACACTTATGTCACCAAAAATCTGCGGCGAGAGGGGCAGATCCAGCAGATGATTCGCCACCCCAACATCACGCAGCTCCTTGATATCTTAGAGACAGAAAACAGCTACTACCTGGTCATGGAGCTGTGCCCAGGAGGCAACCTGATGCACAAGATCTACGAGAAGAAGCGGCTGGAGGAGTCCGAGGCCCGCAGATACATCCGGCAGCTCATCTCTGCAGTGGAACACCTGCACCGCGCTGGGGTGGTCCACAGGTAAGGTCCCTGAGAGGCTGAGATGGCTGAATCTGTGCTGAGTGGACGCTCCAAGAAATGCTAAGCGACCCATCCTGTTTTGCAATTTTTCTTCCATTGGATTGTTTTATGAGTTGAGTTCAAGCCAGTATCGGGGTTCAAAGAGAGTCCAAAGGCAGAGTACCTTTTCTTGTATCCTGGCGCTGCCTTTGAATGGTTGTTTGACCTTGCACAAAATATTTAACCGCCCTGAACTTCAGTCTCTTCATCTGTAAAATGAGAATAATAATACTTCACTTTCCATTGATGTGGTGGTCAGTGAGTTCTTATGTAGAAAGAGCTTGAATGGTGTTCGGTGCACGGTTAGTACTGTATAAACGTTAGCTGCTGTTCTTGTTATTTATGAAGTCATGAGACCAACCATAGAGGTGCCTGAAAGAAAACTCTGTGATAGATGATTTTTCAGCTAGGGAGAGGGCTTTCACGGTATTATTTACTTTCAGATGGTAGCTGCTCGATAGTTGTCTTAGTCAACTGAATTGAATCACCAAATCGTGGACTCGCCCTTGAAACCAAGGGGTATTCCCCATAAATCAAACCAACCTTGCGAATAATTATGAAAATCGAACTTGCCTAGCAACTTGTTCCCTCTGGGGAGGAGGCTTCCAAGAAAGTGAATGGAAATGATGTTCTTAGCAATTGTGGGTGCTTACGTTGACAATAAAATACATTTTAAAAAGTTAAAAAATTTTCTAAGAAACTGTTGGCTCCACCCATAAATGCATAGTTCTTTCTTCATGGAATTATAATCAATAATTACAATGATAATTGTAATTATTGAGAAAAATCAATAATTATAGATAAAAATAAAAAATCATGTTTAATTAATTCTCACTTAAAAAGTCATCTGATGGCATGAAGTATGCATGCACACACGTATTTGAATATTTTTAAATGGAGATATAATTCACATCCTCTAAGATCTACTTTATGAAAGTGTATAATCCAACGTTTTTAGTGTATCCAGAATTATTCAATCATTACCATAGTCTAATTTGGGAATAATTTTATTACCCCCACAAAGAAACCCTGTTCCCATTAGACACTCCCCATGCTTCCTTGTGCCATTCCTTGGCATCCATTAGTTGACTTTATGTCTCTATGGATCGGCCTATTCTGGATTTTTCATATAAATGGAATCATATAATATATGGTCTTTCGGGATTAAGGTCTTTTGCTTAGCATGATGGTTTTCAGATTCTGTCATATCAAGTATCAGTACTTCCTTCCTTTTTATGGCTGAATAACATTCCACCGTATGGATATACCACAGTCTGTGAATCTCTTCATCAACTGATGGACATTTGGGTCATTCCAGTGTTTTTGGCTGTTATGAGTGTTTATGGACAAGTTTTTGGGTGAACACATGTTTTCACTTCTCTTGTTTCTTTTGGAGAATTACATGCTTAGGGTGGAATTGCTGGGCAATTCTCAGTTTTGCCTTTTGAGGAAACACGTATTTTTTAAAAAGTGCACATCTAAGCCGGGCATGGTGGTGCACTCCTATAATCCCAGCGCCTCAGGAGGCTGAGGCAGGAGTATCACGAGTTCAAAGCCAGTCTCGGCACTGGTGAGGCACTAAGCAACTCAGTGAGACCTTGTCTCTAAATAAAATACAAAATAGGGCTGGGGATGTGGCTCAGTGTTTGAGTGCCCCTGAGTTCAATCCCTAGTACCAAAAAAAAAAAAAAAAATTGAATATCTAATGGTACCTTCTCTCTGTCCAAAAGTCATTCATTTTCTGATCAGTGAGGGAAGCAGCTAGAGACCTTTACTTAATAGAGCTCTCTGTAGGAGCTCTGTAGGAGCTTTGCAGATGGAGAGGGCTGTCTCCTCCTTGGGAGCCCTGGGGAGTCTAAACCCAGGGGCGCTGTGGGGATATCCATTGCTCGGGGCTTTTCCAGAGCCAGCCCTGGCCGGGCACTGTTCCCATTAGTCACTTCCTCCTCACTGAGGTGCGAGACCCTCTTCACAGACATATTCTTAGTCTCCCAGGCTGTCATGGTATCATCATGCTTTATTACAAGTCTTTGTGTTTCCATCAGCGAGGCAGGGAACACTCAGAAACTGGAGGTGAAGAACACTATTTTTGGCTCTTCCCCACAATACCCTCTTGTGGCCTGTGGTGTCACGGCTCTGCCATTATCAGGAAAATGATGGTCGTGAGGGTGCCTGGCACTGTCTTTGTTTATTAAGATGACAAAGCCAGAAACCTCATGAATGAATCAGCCTGGAATATTGACTCTGTGGGTCACAGCAGAAAATAGGAGCGGGGTGGAGCAGGGGGGCAAGTGGCAGAGCTTTCTGTGGGACTTGGGGTGTTTTTCCAAGGGTTTTGTGCTGTCAAAAATAAGATGGGAGAGGAGTTTCTCAGGATGTTGAGGACAGCAAAGCAAAACCAGGTGAAAGCCGGCATTGCACTCTGGTTTTCTCCCGCAGGAAATTCTCAACAACCCTTTTAAAGTAATTTTAACAAAATCCAATCCTTCTCAGTGCAATTACTGTCAGAATGTCAAAGGAATGAATTTAATAATGTTTTGATAGCAAAGACAGGACGTTTTTTCTTTCATCTCCAGCTTCTCCTTCTTACTCTCTCTCCTTGGAAATATATTCATAATCCAATAATGGTGAGGGCTCAGATCTTTCAAAGTTAGAAGAGATTGGAATCTAGATAAATATAGATTTAGGAGGATTTCTTTGCTTTTCTCTGTAGAAATCATGTTAATGTGTGTATAGCACCTGAACATAGGTGATCAGGTAGCTGAGACATTGCATTAAAATGTTTTCATAGGATACATTCATGGGTAGCTTCATCTGAAGATCTTGACTATCGGAGATTGTGATTTGGCTGGCTGCTGGTATTTTTTTATTTTTATTTTTTTACTGTAGCCTTCTCCAGTGATGGGGAATTTTCTTTGTGCTGCAGAGGAGGAATGAATTTCATAAATTATTTTGAGGTTAGATTTTTCAAATGAATAAGAGAGCCTAGCATTTCAGAGAAACCCTGGAGTCCCTGGTGGGGAAATTTCTGAGCAAATAGATTGGATTATTCAAAAGGAGCTAGAACGATTTTTGTTTTGTTTTGTTTTTTGTTTTTCCAGCGGCAGGGATGGAACCCAGGGCCTTGTGCATGCTAGGCAAATGCTCTCCAACCAAGCCACATCCCTAACCCCTTGGAATGAGTTTTTTTCTGGCTACGTACATGCAGTCATGTAAAGGGCTTTTGGTTCTGAGTGTTAGAGGATGCTTTAAAACTCAGTTCTTGATTAGGCTGATACTGTGTGTGCTGTTAGGTCCTAATCAGCCTAATACGAGCAGAGCCCTCATTTCTTCTGACATTAAATCTAAATATTTAATTATCTACCCAGAAGTTCTCAATATCGTTTAAAAGAAGCACATCTTTACAAGTCACGTGACTATTACAGGTAGACTTGGAAACAAGGAAACTAAGCCGCATGAAACAGATTCCCAGCTTTATAGGAACCTGGACTTGTCTGGAGTCTGCATCTTTTGCTTCTGGGGGGCTCTTAGGAACTTTCACACGAGCAGAGCGTGGTCTAACTTCACGACTCCAGTTTCAGGACTGCCCGAGATACTGCACGTTTACGATATAAAGAGTTTGTTTATTTATTTTTTCCTTCCCATCCAGCGTGCTCTCCCGGCAGGATGCCCAGATCTGATGATTTGCCTATTTATACAGAGAGTTGACTCTTACCATGAATCAATAAGACCCGCTGATTCTGCTAAGAGCTAATTTGAGATTCATCTGTTCATTTGAAATGACAAAGTCCAATCAAACTGTACAGACAAAACATTGCAGGGTAATACAATATCCTTGTCCCTAAGCAGGAAGAGACAAGCCAGGGCGCCTCCGGACTAGGAGAAAGGGACCTCTGATCAAAGGGAGCCGGTGACTTGCTTGGATGTGTGTCAGCGCCACCGTCCCCCAGGGCTGTGACCTTACTCATTCATCAATGTTGGAAAAGAGTCCCCACACTTGGGAGGACAAGGAGCAGGCATAACCTGTGCTAGGAGAGGATTAAGAAGTTTTTTTTTTTTAACTTTTAGGAGCCTCCCCCACTCCCCACAAAGGGAGGGTTGGGGAAGGCAGACGAGGGGGGAATAGTTTCTGCTCACATCCAGGAGCTGCTTGGGATCCTAGGCCTTCTGCTAAGAGCAAGCACGTACCTGGAGGTGCTGGTTCTCGAGCCCAGACTCTGCAAGGGTGGGGTTAGGTGTAATATTATGGATCCAGTCCTGGGTGCTCCCAGGACCCACAGTCGTCCTCTGCTTCTGCCCACCTGGCCATCTTCGTTGGTTGAATTCTGCTTGTCTTGCAGGTTCCAGCTCCAAGCTCATCTTCTCCAGGAAGCCCTCCAGGCTGGGCCCTGGCCATGTGCCCCCAGGGCACCCTCCCATTGCCTTCTAAATATCTCTCAGGTGATACTAACCTGGTTGTCCTCTCCTGCCCTTTGTTTAGCCCAGGGCCAAGGCCAGTGGGCACTGGTAAGACTTTGTGAAATGAAGGAAGGAAAATCGAATAAATACAGCCAGTGTCGGAGTTGGTACAGGGATGGAGGCTTTCTGGTAGGCAGACCCAGGTTCTTTCTGGAATATTCCATATTCTCCTTGGAATTTCAAGGGAGTTTTTTTCACTGACTTAGTGCCAATTGTTTGTTTTTCAGGTCACAGTCCACAGAGTGGCATCTCTTTAGTGACTCACTTTGATTTTATAAACAGAACTTGTTTCTAGAACACTTTAGGAACCAAATAAAGGTTTTGCTTTGAATAAATAAATCAGGTCCATGCTTGTGTTTTATCAACACAAGAATTTACCATATTGTAAACAAATAAAAGATTTACAAATCACTTGGTTGTAATACAGTGCTTTTGAAGATAAGACCTAAAAAATCCCTCTCATTCACTACTAAATGTCTACTGCTTTGGGGAGTTACAGGCTT